CCCCTTGGGATTCTGAGCACCCCAGCATGTTTGTTAAGCTACCAGAACTGGGATGGGAACAGCAGACTTGGCCACATAGGATCTAGCGTGAATATTAGTATTATTATTATTAGAAACTTTAGATTTTTGTTATAGGGCACATGCACTTGTTGAAGAGAGATGGAGAGAGACAGAGAGAGAGAAAAAGTTAGAAATCACCCTCCCTTGGGAACCAGCAGTTAACGTAATGGCTATGTCACTGGACTCCCACGTATTTGACCACAGTTCACGTTCCGGACCCGGTGGCTTAAAACTCAAGCCGGGTGCGTGTGTGTGTGTGTGCCCAAGATCCCAAGAGGAGAATGGAGGAGAAGGGACAGTGGCGTGACCATCCCCCCTGGGGGGTGATTTCTCGCTTTCTGTCTCTATGTCTCTGTCTGGCGAGCGCATGTGCCCTATAGTGAAAACCTCTCCAAAAAAAAAAAAGAAATCACCCTCCCCATGGGGGGGAGGGGGGGGTTGGCCATGACATAATCCCTTCTCTTCCATTCTCTCAGAATCTTGAGCATGCAGGCACACATGCCCAGTGTGTTTTTCAAGCTACTGGGTCCAGGACTCAAACCATGGAGTCGGCTATGGGGACCAAGTACCTTAACTACCACGCCACTTGCTGGCCTCTGAATCTCATCTTTAGCACTGCAATCTGCTATGTACAATAGCTGGAAGTATAATAGCAAATATGCAATTATATTTGTTCCTATTCCCAATTCCATTGCCCACTAGTAGATTTCAAAAACTGCAATACAAGTATTTTTTTTTATTGTAGTAATTACAGTGAAATATAGCCCACATACCATAAAATTTGCCCACCTAGAGTACAATCAGGCCTGGCTTCATAGTTTAGTAGGAGCTAAATCATACATGGCTAACCATGGTTCAAATTCCAGCCCAGAGGAAAATATGTTAGGTATCTATGTGTGCCCCACACATATTGAAAAATATGTTAGGTATCTATGTGTGCTCCAAATTCTGACAGGATGGGAAATGGAAAAGAAGAGATTGCAGCCTGATTACACTCCACTGGCTACTGTCTCTTTCTCTGTCAAGTGTACACACCCTTTGGCAAAAAAAGAAAAGAACAAGTACAATCAAACTGTCTTTAGTACCAGAGTTGTGCAACCATAATCATGATCAGTTTTGTAACATTTTCATCACCCAAAAAGAAACCCTATACCCACTATCAATCACTTGCTTTTTTTTTTTAAAGTTTCGCTATACAGGATGTGCACTCACTGGAGGGAGATAGAGGGAGATAGAGAGAGAAGTCACCCCTCACCCCAGCCGGGATAGACATTCTGTAAACTCTTTTTCTCCATTCTCCACTCGGGATTTTAGGCATACACACATTTGTTGTGTTTTTCAAACACCTAAATCTGGGACTTGAGCTGCCCAGTCAGACATGTGAGATCCAGCTGCCAATCACTTCCCACTTCTAAGTTTTTTTTTTTCCCCTGAAGAATTATTTATTTATTATTATTTTCAATTTGATGGGGGGGTTGTTTTTACTATTAGCTTAAAGGAATTCCATACAAGCTTCCCTGTAAACAGCCGGTAGGGACTGAATAAATATTTGTTTGATGAGTAAATGACAAAGCAAATGATCCCAAATTTTTGTCTCTAGTCCCGACTTCCCTTCTGAACTCCAAACCTTCATTTCGAAATGCTGAGTTATCTCCACATGTATAAAATATCTAACAGCATTTCAAACCTAACAATGTTCAAAACCAAGAGTAGCATCTCCTCCACCAAATCTATTCATTATTCAATTATTGACCAATCTTCCACTCACCTGCAAATCTAAGTATTTAATAATATCTCTTATTCTCTACATTTAAAAAATCCCAGTAATTCTGAGTCCCTAAAATTTATTCTTATGAGTACATGAATTCCATATACTTGTATTAGGATGTAATGTCCTGTTTAGGTTTTAAAAATTTAAAAAAAAAAAAAAAAAAGAATTATTTATTTAGGGACCAGCAGATAGCATAATAGCTACATCGCTGGACTCCCATGTAGTTGACCTAGGTTCGAGTCCCACACCTGGTGGCTGAAACTCACACTGGGCGTGTGTGCATGCATGCCCAAGATCCCGAGAGGAGAGTGAAAGAGAAGGGACTGCAGCGTGGCCATCTCCCCCTTGAGTGGGCGATTTCTTGCTTTCTGTTTGTGTCTTTCTGGTGAACACAGGCGCCATATAGTAAAAACTTCTCAAAAAAAAAAAAGAAAAGAATTTTTAAAAATTTATTCATTCATTTATTTTAATTTGAGCAAAGGGGGATACAGAGAGAGAGAAAGTGAGAAAGCAAGCCACCAGGTCCAGGACTCATGCTGTGGTTGGCCATGTGGGAGTGTCCAGTGCCTTAACCACTAGCCACCTGCTGACCCCAGGTTTCAGTATCTTTCAACTTTGCTAATGTTAGCATTCTAACTGAATATGTGCTGTTAAAATAACCCTTTCAACACATCTTTTACGAAGCCACTTGAGTTATTTTTCCAGAACACAAATACTTACATCACTCCCCACACTCATAATAGCAAAATCTCTAAGGATAAATTCATTCAGTTACATGGAAAAAAAATTTCCCAAAGCTAGAGATTAAGTAATTTGCCAAAAAGTAGACATCTACTCAAAAGTAAAACTTAAAAAACTAGAATCCAAATCTTCTACTGGTTTGGTTGCCTTTATACTGCCCCACACTAGGCAACACAAAGTGGAATTTCTCATTCCCTAACAAAGTGCCCCTAACTTAATTTCAAAATGTTACTCTTGTTCTCTTTGCCAGTATGCTACGTTGACCCAAAGTGAGGTATAACTTTCAAGGTAAAAATATTTAACTTACAAATAGTGCCTGAATGCTTTCAGAGCCTCATGAGCAAGTGGGACGACTTGGCTAAGCTAATAGGATTCTCTTCTCCTGAGAAACGTCAGAGGATCAGTTGAACCGGAGAGTTGCGCCCGGGGTGTAAACACAGCACACCCCCGCGGGAACTGAAGGTGAAGGAGAAACCAGGGCATCAGCCCCTCAGAGGAGGCAGCCGTCCCCCTCTACACTCAGAAACTAAGTGGCCGTGGGAAGGCAGGAGGGCTCTGGGCTCACGCGTTCATCCAGGCAGGGCTCCCTTGGCACCCCCGTCCCCCACCACAAAAGCCTTAATTCAAGGCCCCAGGGTCCGCCGCCAGGCCAAGCTGCGGGTGCAGACCGAGAGCTCCAGCCCGAGGGACTCGCTGACTCCGGCGTTCTCAGGATGATCTTCACTCCGAGCCGCAGACCTCCGAACCAAGCAAAGGAGCCGGAACATCGCCTCCAAAACCCCAGCGAGGAGAAAGGCCGAAGGCGTAGACCTAACACCGGCCGCTCCCAGGCCTGCCAGATCCGGGAGGGGTGCCCAAAGGGGGCGGTTTCCCTGACTCTCCCGGCGCGAACTCAGCCCCGGTTACCGGAGAGTCGGGACTGGTCCCCTCCCTTGGGGACCACCTAGCGGAGCGGGTGTGGCCAAGCCCACCCAGAGCTCACCTTCCAGTCCGGAGCGGCCGGTCGGCGGTCGGTCCCGAATTCCGTCCACACACGGCGTCTTCCGGCTCTCACCGGAAGCAGCTCGAGCGCGGGACAGGAAGTTTGGCCGGCGCTCCTCCGCGCTCACGCACACCCCCAAACCCACTCGCTCGCCGCCCTGCCCTGCGGCCGTCCCCCGGCTGGTGGTATCCGCTCGAGGGCAGACCGCGGTGGCGGCTCCGCCCGGAGAGCCGGGATCGGCCGGGGAGCGAACGGAGCCCCGGCCTCCCGCCTCCCATTCATTCTCTCTCGGTCTTTGAGTCTCCTTGGTCCGCCGAGCCTGAAAAACGACAGTTCATTCCATCCGTGACCTCACTGCCTCCCCGCGGTAGCGGGTGGCGAAGTTGTCCCATCAGCTGAAGAGTTACAAGGAAGACGAACGAGAAAGAGATCACTACGTAACCGAGCTCTCAAAGGAGACGATCTGGAAGCCTGCCGTCCGAGAAGAAAACCTGCAAATTCTGCCTTGCCTGAAGGACGGGGTCCGAATTGCGAATCACGCGTGGAACTTTTTTGAGGAATATGAAAGGAAAGTCTGGATTCCATAAATTTGTATTAGGATGTAAAGAGCTCTTAGATTTACCCTGACGCGGTGAGGACTAGAACACTCGAGTTCCAGTCTGGATGCCACCACTTGTTTAAGCTTTATGAATGTGACTTCTTGAAATTCTTAATTTCTTTTAATAGTTACTGCATACCGAATAATGAGGAACTCAACTAAAATAGTAGCAGTGGGAATTAAAGGAGTTCTCTAAAAATAGTTTCAAGGTTAAAGATAAGCCTTGATGACAGGCTTATAAATGGATGAGGAAAAACTCATTTGGGTACAGGAATAACTAAAGTGATTTAAAACAGGAGGAAAGTAATCCCTCAGACAGGCAATATGTGAGGTGTTAAGGAGATATTTACTTGGAGAAGATCTAAAGCTAAAGTAATAGATCAGATTTGGGTGTTGTCAACATACAGAGAAGATCTGAAGCCCCCCTTTGAAGATAAAATAGTCTTTTTAAAAAAAGTATATAGGAACCAGCAGTTTGCATAATGGCTGTGTCGCTGGACTCCCACGTAGTCGACCGCGGTTCTCGTCCCGGACCCGGTGACTTAAAACTCACACCGGCCACGTGTGCGTGCGTGCCCAAGATCCGTGCCCAAGATCCTGAGAGGAGAATGGAGGAGAACGGATTGCGGCGTGACCATCCCCCCTGGGGGGGTGATTTCTCACTTTCTGTCTCTCTGTCTGGCTGGCGAGCTCACGCACCCTACAGAGAAAATCTCTCAAAAAAAAAGTATAAAAAACAAGAGAGAGAAGGCCACTGAAAGTGGAGTGACTGATTACTGATCTATTTATCACAAATGTTGCATACAAAAGTATATTCACAGTGTGTAAATCAGTGAATACGCAATGAAGGCTCAGAAAAAAAATTATTTTACTGTTTTAAAGAATTGATTACAATAAAACAAATTCTTAGTTAGAGGTACACCACCAGTGGTCTTTAACAGTTATGTTTTCAAACATTTGTTAACTTGGTCAGTCAGTCCTGTCTTTGTTGTCTAAATCTTTTTAACTACCTAAAACTCCAAATGACATTTATTATTTATGTGCCTCCTAAATTATTCAACACAATGTACTTGTTAATCTAAACATGCCTAGAGGTTCTAGGCTATTCAGAAAATGATTTGGCAAAACAGAAACAGATCATCTTCTGGAGTAATTCTAGCCTATCAACTTAACCTACCTGTTATTCTCATGCTCTTCTAACCCCAAGCCTCTGCTCTCCTATCCCAGAAACAAGCTCTGCACACCGCCATCTCTATACCCAATCTCTACATACGAATTATTCTACTAAGTCTCTTTTCTATATACAATATGGAAAGGCCATCCCAATTCTATTTTTAACATCAAGTTTCAACTTAAGGATCATGTAAAATATTTCCAGTTCAAATGTTTACTGTCTCTTAAGCATTATATTTCAAACTAATAAATTTCAAAATCTATTGTGTAGGATCCATTAACAATTATATCAACTCATTAATGAGTTCAGAATACCTGACAAAAAATAACATATATTAGTTTTAGCAAAAAAAAAAAATTTGATCATTTGATTTTATTGTAAATAATCCTATCTTGAATGTAAGTGTATATAGGATATGAAACCCATAGGAAAGAATATGCAACTAAGAAAATATCACCTATGATCATATTTAAACCAAGAGTTATTTGTACCCTAATATTTTTTCTTTAATGAATCTTAAAAATCTTTGTGCAAAAAAAAAAGAAAAAAAAAAGTGATTTCCCTGACGAGAAGATTTACAGATATTACAAAGAGATTTTTTCTGAAATGCAAACTATCTGCTTCCCGATGTTACCTCCTGTCATCATGGACTGGAATGCAGCTAGAAGGGCGAAAAAAATTTTAAAAACTAGGTTATCCAAAAAGATAAATGTCACTATACTTGTTTACATATATATAAACTTGTTTACATATATATATTTAATTGCTAGAGAGAGATGGGAGAGAGAAAAGGGAAAGAGAGACCACACCCAGTGGGGTGTGGTCATACTGTAATCCCTTCTCCTCCATTTCTCCACCCTGTCAGGATTTGGGACACCCATACAAGCATACACACTTGGCATGTTCAGGATGCCAGGGCCAAAGTTTGAACCATGGTCAGCCATGTCGTTTCCAACTTCCTTAACTACTAGGCCACAGAGCCTGACTCCATACTTTTTTACAAAGTGTTTAGACACATAAAATTAGTTTGAATAATTTCTTCGATGACCTTAATATTGAGCAAAAAAAGGAAACTTTAATGAAAAGAAACCTCAAGTAAAACAAGGCAAAGTTACAACAAACTTATTAACATCATAAAATTATTTTTACTCTAGGGGCCAGCAAGTGATAAGGAGGTTAAGATGCCTAGATCCCACATGACCAATTACACAATTCAAGTCCCAGACCCAGTGGCTTGAAAACATGCCAGGCGCATGTGTGTATATGCCCAAGCCCAAAATCCCAAGAGGAGAATGGAGGAGATGGGAGTGTGGTGTGGCCAAACCTCCTAGCAGGTGATTACTTAGTTTCTCTCTCTTTCTCTCTCTCCCTCATGAGTGAACATGCAAACATACCAAAAAGTTGAGTAAAAAAAAAAAAAAAAAAAATTTACTGAAAGTGTTTAAATGCTATCTATAATTTATTTATTTATTTAATTAATTTATTTATTTATTTTTGCTAGAGGGAATATATGCTTACCAGAGAGAGAGAGAAAAGGAGGAGAAAGCACCCTCCATGGGGAATGGTCATGCAGCAACCCCTTCTCCACCCTCCTTTCAGGATTTGGGGCATGCACTCACACACACACACACACACACACACACGGCCTGTTTTTCAAGCCACCAGGTCCAGGACTAGAATCATGCAGTCAGCCATGTGGGATCTATCTGCTTTAATTATCAGGCCATGGAGCCAGCTCTACAATTTTATTAAGCAAATTGCAATGCACACTTATTATGCAAGACAGTGAGTGAAATTTCTATTTATGTTTTAGCAAACATATTAACTAAATATATTAAATTTTTTCTGAAAGAAGGCAAAAATCAGTTTTATTTGATACATCTCTTTGAAGTGAACAAGAGAATATCTGTATATACAAAATAATAGAACACTGAAAACTAGCATAATATAATCTTATGATGCCTTAGAACCATTTAATCTGGAAATGTTACCCAGAGATTAAATAACTTTCACAATTACCACAATTTTTTTGAAGATTCTATGAAAAACTAAAGAAACACTTATTTTACAATTTAAAATGTGAAAATAATGCCTCTTAAATACCATTAGGTTGGGACCAGCAGGTGGTGTGGTGGTTAAAGCAGCTAGAATCCCATATGGCAGATCGCAATTCAAGTCCTGAACCCAATGGCGTGAAACACGCTGGGCTCATGTGTACCCATGCCGAAAATCCCAAGAGAAGAGTGGAGGAGAAAGGATTGCAGCATGGCCATGCCCCCAGGGGATGATTTTTCACTTTCCCTCTCCTTGTCTTTCTCCTCTCCAGTGAGTGCACAGCCCCTATGGCAAAAATTTAAAAACAAAAAAAATCAAGTTGAACTTTCACTGAGTTTTTAAGATATTTAAGGAAACCTATAGGACAGTTTTACAGGAAAGAAATAAATGATTAAAAAGAAAAAAGTGCAATCGAGGTAGAATTTAAAAGGGGAACATTAGAGGTAGCATTAAAAAGGGGAATATTTGTGCTCAGCACACACATGTAATTAAATAAGCCTACATGCATCTTACCTCCCATGTTTTCCAATCCATTTATCATAGTCTCTCTGATCTGTAAATTGAAATAGATAGATTTAGTGTTCTTTATCAAACTTTAATTCTTCTATTAATAGTTTTCTTTTTTACAAAAGGCAGCAATTCAGGACCAACTTGTGGTATAGTGGTTAAGGCAGGTAGATCCCACATGGCTGACTGTGTGGTTTGAATCTCAGATCTGGTAGTTTAAAAATCACGCTGTCACGTGTGTGTGTGCATACCCAAAGTCCTAAGCGGAGAATGGAGAAGAAAGGATTGCAGAATGGCATACCCCTGGAAGTGATTTTCTTCCTTCTTTCCTTCCTTTCTATCATACATATTATTTCTCGCCCTCTTTCTGTCTCTCTGTCAAAACACATACCCTGTAACAAAAACTACAAACAAACAAAAGGCAGCAATACTGTTTAGTTTCTTTTTAAAAATTTGCCAGAAAGTATACGTACTCACCAGAGAAACAGAGGGGGTTGAGGGAGAGGGAGAAAGCACACCGCAGTAGAGTGTGGTCATGCCACAATCCCTTGTCCACCATTTCTCCACCTACTGGGATATGGGACACACACATATGTACACACATACCCAGTGTGTTTTCCAAGCTTCCAGGGCTGGGATTCAAACCTTTAGTCCATTCAGTCAGCCATATGGGATCTAGCTCCTTTAACCAGCAGGCCACAGAGCTGGCCCACTATTAAGTATTTCCTGTCTTAAAAATAGCTAATTTTTAATTTTGGGTAGAAAAGTCTCATGTAGGAAACTTTGCTAGAAAAGTATCAATTCATTTTTTAAAGAATAATCTTATTTATTATTATTATTTAATTTGCTATAGGACTGTATGTTTACCAGAGAAAGACACAGAGAGAGAAAGAGTGGGAAAATGAGAAAGCAAGGTCCAGAACTTGAGCCATGGTCAACCATGTGGGAGTCCAGCAACTTAATTAAGCACCACACCACCTGCTGTTTCCTCTATCAATTCATTTTTATTTTTATTTTTTTAATTATTTATTTTATTTTGTTAATAGTATTAAATTTGCTATAGGGTTTGTGCACTTATCAGAGAGAGAAAGAAAGCCACCAGGTCAAGGACTTTAACTCCAGTCAACTGTGTGGGAATCCAGCACCTTAACTACTATGCCACCTTTTTTTTTTTTTTTAATCAATTCATTTTTAAAAATAAAATCTTAGGGACCAGCAGATGACATGGTGTTAAAGGCGCTGGATTCCCATGTGGCCAAACATGGTTTGAGTCCCAGACCTGGCAGCTTGCTTTCTTGCTTTCCCTTTCTCTCTCTCTCTGGCCAACCTTTAAAAAATAATAATAATAACAAATGGAATTAAATATATACATTTTTAAAAATAAATAAAAAATAAAATCTTGGTGGCATGGGGGTTAAAGTGTACGGTTTGAGTCCTGGACCCTGAAGCTTGAAAAATATGCCAGGGATATAGGCGTGTGTACATGCATGAAACACAAAATCCTGAAAGGAAGGAGAGATGAAGAAGGGATTACAGCATGATCATGCCCCACAGAGGAGGGTGCTTTCTCACTTTCTCTCTTCCTCTCTCCCTGCCAGGTAAATGCATGTGCCCTCCGGCAAAAATTTAAAAAGAAAAAAAAGTTAATTGACTAATTAATAAAATAAAATCCGGGGCCAACTTTGTGACCTGATGGTTAAGGCCGCCAGGTCCCACACAGCCAAATGCACAGTTCTAGTCCTGAACCTGGTGGCTTGAGAAACATGCCAGGCAGTGTGTGCACTCATGCACAAAATCCCAAAAGAAAGAGGGATGGAGAAGAAGGGATCATGGCGTGACCATTCCCCATGAGGGGTGGCTTCTCTTCTCCCTCTTTCTCTGGTGAGCACACACTCCCTATAGCCAAAAAGTAAAATTTAATCCTATTTCCCATTGGCTAATTTTCAATTAGTAACAGTAGTCACAAGCTATATACCTGTTTTTCAAAATAAAACAACAAAAAACAACAAAAAAGGTAAATAAGCCTGCACACATAAAACTTTGTCTATATTTTGTAGGTTTTGAGAATATACTAGATCAGGGTCTCCAGAGCTCAAATTAGTAACTCCTGATTTTCAACCATCGACTAAAAGATACATTAGAATGTCAGGGAGAGCTAGAAAAAGGAATGGTGGTGAAGAGGTAGAGGTACTGGGAGGTGCTTGTATGATTTTTGAGAAAGCACAGCTTCTCAGACAGTAGTATTCCACAAATATTTGTTAATGAATTTAAAATTTTATATTGGGAGAAAACATTTATTTTTCTACCATACACTATGGAAAATACATGGCAATACAATTTTAAATAAAGGGACTAATGAGAGGGTTTCTCAATTAAGAGGTTATACCCTCCTGGGAAGTAAAGTTATAATACTCAGTCTACTTTTCTTTGTAGGAATTTTTATAATGAAACTAATATTATTTTTTAAAGAGTCATTTATTTATTTAATTCCATTTGTGGTTGTTGTTGTTATTATTTAATTTGATCAGAGAGAGACAGAAGAGAGAAAAGGAAAGAGAGAAAGCAAGCCGCCTGATCCAAGACTTGAACCCTGGTTGGCCATGTGGGAATCCAGCACATTTAATCACCACGCCACCTGCTGGCCCCGAAACGAGTATGTTTGCCATAAAAAATTCAAATAATACCAAAGTATATCAAGTAGCAGGAAGAATTAATATTGGCAGAGAATAGAAGCACATTCTACCTTTAGCTTTCCTTCTTTAAACCATTGACTCAGCTGTAGAATGCCATCTGCAAATTTGTCTGTATAATTTAGCACCAGAAATCGGTCCCTGTAGTAGAGAAGAAAAGGACAATGATCAGAGAATACAATGCGAGTGAAAAATTCAACATCGGTTCATCTCAGAACTCTTAATTATCTGTTAATCCTCAGGAATTAATCATACTGAATCTGGTAAGATACAGTTTTAGGTACAATTTAGGTATAAGTGTAGCAGACTTTCCATGTCTCTGTTCAGAATCTACAACTCCATTTGGTAATATCACTCTAATTTTTCTTTGTGTATAACATCCTTTTCCCACCCTCATGTAATGTAAGCCAGGCCAGTCAAAGCCATTATTCAAGTATCAGTTTTCAGAGACCTAGTTAACCAAAACCTAAATATTGAGCCAGCTTAAAAATGTTTCTTTTCCAGGACCAGCAGATAGCATAGTGATTACGCTGTTGGACTCCCATGTGACTGACCGTGACTCAGGTCCTAGACCTGGTAGCTTGAAAACCATGCCGGCCTTGTGTGTGCGTACACCTAAGATCCTAGGAGGAGAATAGAGAAGGGATTGCAGTGTGGCCATCCCCCTGGGGGGTGATTTCTCCCTTTCATCTTCACTGGATCTGTCTCTCTGTCTCTCTCTGGCAAGCACATACTCCCTGGGCAAAATCCTCTTAAAAAAAAAGTGTATATCCCCATTTTATTTAATTAGGAAAGACTGCATGTGAAGAACAATAAATTTCCTCTCTCTATGACATTTAAATCCCCTGGAACCTGGTAATGAGGGTAAGGGGGGAGAACTCACCTTGTGATGTTTCTTTCTTTCTGGATTGTGGCTACTGCAGGAGGTAGCGGAGGAGGATAAGGCACATCTTTGTTGTACTGAGAAATCTGACCACACAGGATGATGTGGCTGTTCTGGTTCATCTGTAGAAAAAAATTGATGATTATATCATAAGATATACAGCTTTACTATGTTTCCTTATTTTATGGCTAACTCAATGAAAGCCTCCTTAAATACTGTATTTAACCTGTTATTGCCAATTAACTGAATTGATTTTTTTTTTTTTTTGGAGAGATTTTTGCTATAGGGTGCGTGCGCTCACCAGACAGACTGAGAGAGACGGAGAGACAGAAAGCAAGATATCACCCACCAGTGGGGATGGGCATGCTGCAATCCCTTCTCCTCCATTGTCCTCTCAGGATCTCGGGCATACACGCACACGCGCCCGGTGTGAGTTTAAGCCACCTGGTGCGGGACTCGAACCACGGTTGGCTACATGGGAGTCCAGCAATATAGCCATTACGCTAACTGCTGGTCCCTGAATTGATTTTTTTATGACAAAGAGACTTGTACTTATAAATGATTATCAGTACACCAAGTAATAATAACATGTAACACGTTTTTGAATTCTATCATCTAGTATTTTGACTAAAAGAAACTAAAAGCAGCTCAAATGATTACACTAGTAGTCACTGTTCTAACCCTTAGTAGGAATGGACTACTTTAAGGCTGGTTGCTGCTTCACACAGGTTACAAGTAACTATTTACTACTTTTTCACAGATAAAGCCCTTCAAGAACGCATTAGGGAAAAATGAACATTACTTAATCCCTTTCTTTCTTCAAAGAATTTCTCTTTTAACTAGGTCTAAGAAAGAAAAAGGTAACATTGAGATAGGAGTTGCTTGAGCTAAAAGTATAGGAAAACAAGGTACATGCATTAAATTTCTAAGAAATATGAGGTAAAAAGATGAAATCTGCATAAGTTCTAAGTCTACATAAAGAAGGTAGATTTGCTACTCTGCAAAAAGTGAAGGGACCTACTACGTAATATACAGAAATAATTTAATGCCTTTTCCAAGAATATAACTGGAGCTCTGTAACGCTTCATACTTCACAAGACGCCAATCCATAGAACAGGCACTTAGTCCTTCTATCCCTTTATGTGGTGGTTTTCATGGATTTCTGGTCAGATGTCACAGACAGAGGCCAAGAACTTATCCAAGACTTCATCCCTGTTCTGTAGGAAGTAGTTCTGGAGGACAGTCATCTTCTCCTGGGTCTCCTTCGCTTCAGGGCTGCCACTGCCATTCCAGACCCACGGCTTCCTTGGCCTTAAACTCTTTCTCCCTTTGCAGGTGGTGCTGTTCCATTTCAGCCCGAGCTTCTTCAGCCTGCTTCAGACTCCCGTTCTTTTGCTTTCTTGGAGGCCCACTTCTGGGCTTGCAGCAACTGCTGGCTCCCCTGCGACTGGCTGGCCATGGCAAGGGGAATCTGAGGCCCAGAGGAGTAACCTTAACCAGCTAGCGGGCCCTTTGGGTCAGCTGACCCCAGAGCCCACAATCTGCACCTGTGCACAGTGACTGCAGCCCTACCTGAGTTTATTTAGAAGATTTATGCATTTTATGTATTTAAGACTTATAATTAGCCAGGAGTAAGTCTACTCCAAAAGAACACAGTGGCAAATGAAACTTTGGTAATCAATAGAACTGTATTAATTGTTGTTGCTGCTTCTTTTGCTGACTAGTAGGAGTATATTTCTTTGGATTTAAATAACTTAACCTCAATTATAAATAATTTCTCATATAGTATATAATGTTCATAGCTCATGTAGATATTTTATAATATCATTAATAAAAATAGGTAAATACCTGCAACCTGTGAAAACTTTGTCTCTACCCAAAGTCAGGGGCTGTGACTTTAAGTTGGTTGATGGTGAATGCCATTTCAACAATGCAACTGTAATTTTTCACAGCACTAAACTATAGGTGAAAAAACATAGTGTGGGCAAAGAACTAAAAATGAAGTTCACAGTGCAAATTTGCAAGCACATGGAAGTACAGGTAAAAAGATGAAGTCTGGATAAGTTCTCAGTCTATACAAAGAAGCTAGATTTTCTACTCTGCAAAAAGTGAAGGGACCTGCTACATAATATACAGAAATAATTTAATGCCTTTTCCAAGACTATAACTGGAGCTCTGTGAAGCTTCATATTCCACAAGGGCATCTAAGACGCCAGTCCATGGGACAGGCACTTTGTCCTTTTATCCATTTATGCAGTGGTTTTCATGGATTTGCAAGCTCCTATTTATAACACTTCAATACAAGACTCATCATACATTGTTTGTCCCAATGGACTCTAAAGTTTTATAAAGCTTTTTGTTACCAGTATCAGGTAAAAAGATATACGACAAATGAAATGCAGTATACAAATTTGTAACAGAAACAGATCAGCAAACAACCTGACATATCACTTTATCACTGATGTCACCGCCAACGTTGTCAAAGTAAACATCCACTCCAGCTGGGCATAATTCACGGAGTTGTTCTGCCACATTCCCTTCTTTATAATTAATTGCAGCATCAAAGCCCAGTTCTGAGGTCAAGAGATGGCATTTTTCACGTGTTCCACAAATTCCCACCACTCTGGAACAGCCCAGCAAATGGCCAATCTAGGGGGGAAATGTTTGAAAATTAAATGGCTTTACAGTATCACATTTGAATGTAAAAAATATGGAAGTATATATTACAAGTATATGAGAATGTTCATCATAATGTAGGTTAGAATTCAACTGTTTTTAGCTTAAAGTAATTAGAGATCAAAGAATTGAGGGCAATGTCATCTTTTAAAAAAATTAAAATAGAATAAAATTAGATTTAGTGGGAACCAGCAGTTAGCGTAATGGCTATGTCGCTGGACTCCCATGTAGTCGACCGCGGTTCGCGTCCCGGACCCAGTGGCTTAAAACTCACGTTGGGCGCGTGTGCGTGTGTGCCCAAGATCCCGAGAGGAGAACGGAGGAGAAGGGATTGCAGTGTGACCATCCCCTCTGGGGGGTGATTTCTCACTTTCTGTCTCTATGTCTCTCTCTGTCTGTCTGGTGAGCGCACACGCCCTATAGCGAAAACCTCTCAAAAAAAAAATTTTAGATTTAGTATGAAGGTTAAAATCTTATGATTTAGGGACCAGCAGTTAGCGTAATGGCTATGTCACTGGAATCCCACGTAGTCGACCGCGGTTCGAGTCCCGGACCCGGTGGCTTAAAACTGACGCCGGGCACATGTGCGTGCGTGCCCAAGATCCCGAGAGGAGAATGGAGGAGAAGGGATTGTGGCGTGGCCATCCCCCTGGGGGGGGGTGTGATTTCTCACTTTCTATCTCTCTATCTCTCTCTGTCTTTCTGGAGAGCGCACACACCCTATAGCAAAAACCTCTCCAAAAAAAGAAAAAAGAAAAAAAGAAAAAATAATCTTATGATTTAAATCTGGTTTCATAAAAAGAATAGTCAGAGCCAAAACATGACTATCTAACAATTTACTCTTTCCTCCAGGTGTGTGATGAACTAAAATCACAGCTAAAATATTGATAAAATGCTTTCTTTTAAACTATGATTTATTTAATTTTATGTATCTTTCTTTTTTAAAATTTTGCTACTAAGCATATGCACTAACCAGAGAGAGACAGAGAGAGACACAAAGGGAAATTGAGAAAGCAAGCCACCAAATCTGGGACTCAAATTGTGGTTGGCCATGTGGAAGTCCAATGTCTTAACCACCCACCATACCACCTGTTGGCCCTGATACAATGCTTTGTTTCAATGGTTTCACATTATAAAGGCTATTATTTATAAAACAATGCACTTTATAAAAAGTCTATCAAAATATTTACTACAGGGACCAGCAGTTAGCATAATGGCTATATCGTTGGACTCCCATGTAGTCGACCGAGGTTCGAGTCCCAGACCCAGTGGCTTAAACTTACACCGGGCACATGTGCGTGCATGCCCAAGATCCCGAGAGGAAAATGAAGAAGGGATTGCAGCGTGGCCATCCCCCCCGAGGGATGATTTCTCGCTTTCTGTCTCTATGTCTCTCTCTTGTCTGTCTGGCGAGTGCACGCGCCCTATAGCGAAAACCTCTCCAAAAAAAAAATACTACATTCTATAACTCAATAAATGCTTTCTTATTTGAGAATACTTCTTTTTTTTTTTTTTTTGGAGAGGTTTTCGCTATAGGGCGCGTGCACTCGCCAGACAGACAAGAGAGAGACATAGAGACAGAAAGCGAGAAATCACTCCCCAGGGGGGATGGTCACGCCAGAATCCCTTCTCCTCCATTCTCCTCTCGGGATCTTGAGCACGCACGCACACGTGCCTGGCGTGAGTTTTAAGCCACCGGGTCTGGGACGTGAACCGCAGTCGACTACGTGGGAGTCCAGCGACATAGCCATTACGCTAACTGCTGGTTCCCGAGAATACTTCTTTAAAATATGAGTGTGTTTTGAATTTTAATTCATGAAATTCCAGACAAGTTATATAAAGATCCTCTTCTTTATACTGATGAAGAAAAACAATGCTCCAGCATTCACCACACATATTTTGGTTAATAAAGAACAAAATGAAGGGGCCAGCAAGTTGTGTAGTGATTAAGGTGCTAGACTCCCACATGGCCGTCTGTAGTTCGAATTCCAGCTTGAAACTCATGCTGAGCACATGTGTAAGCGTGTCTAAAATGGCAGGATCATCCCCCTTAGAGGGTGATTTCTTGCTTTCTGTCTCTGTCTTGCCAATGAATGCACATGTTCTATAACAAAAAACCTCTCAAAAAAAAAAAAGAACAAGATGAAAATTTTAAAATAGTTTTTGTATTGTGAATAAGAATGTATAAATAGGGAATAATACCATTTCTACAGAAATATATGAAATTATATTATAAATTTGTTCACTTTTATATGTTAAATTATATACACATACGCAGAGATTTAATTATGACAACTTTTTTCGAAAATCAAATGAATTCTCAGAATGTTTACCTGCCCAGCCAAGGATCCACAGGCACCTGCAGCCCCACTGACAACCATCGTCTGATTGGATCCAGCAGTTATATGACCTTTTTCCTGTATCCCAATCAAGGAAGTCAAACCAGGCATACCTATAGCTCCGAGAAAATATGAAAGGTGTCCATCCACAAGCTGTGGGTCTACCTGAAATAAAACAAGTATCAGTTTTTAAAATAATAGTAGGACTGCTGCTTTAAGACTACAGGTAGAGATAGCCTGTTACAGACTGAATTATCTCCCCCATCTGCTCAAATTCATATTTTTTAAAGAATTTTTTATTTTCATTTTATTTATTCATTCATTTATTTTAATTGAACCGAAGAGAGACAGAGACAGAGAAAGAAAGTGAGAAAGCAAGCCACCAGGTCCAGAACTCGAACCGTGGTCAGCCATATGGGAGTGTCCAGCACTTTAACCACCATGCCATCTCTTGGCCCCCCAAATTCACATGTTAAAGCCCCACGTCCAATGTGGATTTAGTGCCTTAAAGGAGGTATTTAAGGTTAAATTATGTCATATGGGCAGGGCCCTAATCCAATAGGATTTGTGTCCTTAGAAGAGACACAAAAGATATCTCCCTCTCTGTAAGCTTAAGAGGAAAGACCACATGAAGACAAAGCAAGTATGTAGCCATTTGTAATAAAAGCCAGAAAGATGGATCTCACTAGAAACCAACTTGTCCACCACCTTGATCTTTTTTAAAAAATATAATTATTTATTATTATAATTTTTATAAATTTGACCAGAGAGGGAAAGCAAGAAAGCAAGCCACCACATCTGGGACTTAAACCGTTATCGGCACGTGAAAGTCCAGTACCTTAACCACTACATCAGCTGTGCCACCACCACCACCACCACCACCTTAATCTTAGGCTTCCAGTGTCCAGAACATGAGAAAAAAACTTTTTTTAATTTTTTGTTTGTTTCTTTAGTTTTTTGTTTTGTTTTGTTTTGTTTTGTATTATTTTAGGGGAGGTTTTTGCTATAGGGCGCGTGTGCTCGCCAGAAAGACAGAGAGAGACAGAGAGACAGAAAGTGAGAAATCACCCCCCCAGGGGGCTGTCCACGCCACAATCCCTTCTCCATTCTCTTCTTGGGATCTTGGGCACACACGCACACTGTGTGAGTTTAAGCCACCAGGTCTGGGACTCAAACTGCAGTTGACTACATGGGAGTTCTGCAACATAGCCATTATGCCAACTGCTGGTCCCTGTTTCTTTAGTTTTTTAAAGTTTTTTGCCATAGGTAGGTTGTATTCACTGGGAGAGCGAGAAAGGACAATGAGAGGAAAAGTGAGAAATCCCAGGGGGATAGTTACACTGCGATCCCTTCTTCTCCATTTTCTTCCTGAGATTTTGGGCATGTATGCACTCGTGACTGGTGTGATTTTCAAGCCACCCAGTCCAGGACTTGAATTGCAGTCAGCCATGTGGGAGTCCAATGCCTTAGCCACTATACCACCTACTGGCCCCAAAATTTCTATTGTTAAAGTCATCAAGCCTGTGGCATTAAAAAAAAAAACTTAGGACCAGAAGTTAGCATAATGGCTATGTCGCTGGATTCCCACATAGTCAACCGTGGTTCGAGTCCCGGATCCAGTGGCTTAAACTCACGTTGGGCACGTGTGTGTGCGTGCCCAAGATCCCGAGAGGAGAATGGAGGAGAAGGGATTGTGGCCATCCCCTCTGGGGGGTGATTTCTCGCTTTCCCTGTCTCTCTCCCTGTCTGTCGGGCGAGTGCACATGCCCTATGGCAAAAACCTCTCCAAAAAAAGAAAAGAAAAAAAAAAAGTTTATTTTTTTTCCAAGACTGAGAGAGACAGAAACAACACCCACAACAGGGTCCTAAGGCCATAATCCACCCCAGTGTTCAGCCAGTCCCAGATCATGGGCAAGGGTGTGCCTGGAGTAATCAGGGATTGCAGTGTGACCACGTTCACTATGGGATTCTCTCACTCCCTCCCTCTCATTCTCTCTCTCATTCTCTCTTTCTCTAGTGGGTACCTGTGCCCTCTGACAAATTAGAGGGGAAAAACCCACAAACGCAAACTCTCAAGTTCTCTTTGCTGATGCTTAAAATGTATAATAAAAATATAAGGAAGACATAATATAATTTTTCCTGGTAAGGAGAACTACTCTAGGGAGTCAGAAAATGAAACCTCACAAAGATGGTGCTTTGACATGCTGAGACGCCTTTGAAGCTGCTTTAGAACCAAGAACCTTTCACCCTTGTCTTGACCCTTTACACTCAAATGCAGGGATTGTCTGTGGAATTCCATTATAAGACTGAGAAAAACTTCCAAAAGAAATGTGACTGTCTTAAAACCCCTCCCTAGGAATCTTATCAAGCAACTAAAGAAAATTAACTCACATCACACACGCACACACAAAAGAGACTAAAGATTTCCACATTCAGGACATTCCTCCCCTAACTGACAGACTTTCCATTTCTTCTTCTTTTTAAATTTATCAGACCAGCAGGGACCAGGGGATGGCATAATGGTTATGTTGCTGGACTCCCACATGGCTACCAGGGTTAGAGTCCCAGACCAAATGGCTTGAAACTCACGCTGGGTGTGTGTGCATGTGTGCCCAAAATTCTGAAAGGAGAACGAAGGAGAAGGGATTGTGGTGTGCCCATTCTCCTGGGGCGGGAAGGGTGGGGTGGATTTCTCACTTTCTGTCTCTGGAGAGTGCATCCACCCTATTGCAAAAAATCTCTCTAAAGGAACCAGCAGTTAGCGTAATGGCTATGTCGCTGGACTCCCACGTAGTCGACCGCGGTTCATGTCCTGGACCTGGTGGCTTAAAACTCACGCCAGGTGCATGTGCGTGCATGCCCAAGATCCCGAGAGGAGAATGGAGGAGAAGGGATTGAGGCATGACCATCCCCTCTGGGGGGTGACTTCTCGCTTTCTGTCTCTATGTCTCTCTCTGTCTGTCTGGCGAGCACACGTGCCCTATAGCAAAAAAAAAACCTCTCAAAAAAAAAAAATCTCTCTAAAAACCCCCCAAATATTGATAACTTCACACAGTTCAACCTAAGGGTAGTAGCTTAACTCAGGATTTATTTATTTATTTTTTTTTTAGAGAGAGATTTTTTGCTACAGGGAGAGTGCACTCACCAAAAAAGACAAAGACAGAGAAACAGAAAATGAGAAATCACCCCTATGGAGGAAGGCCATGCCACAATCCCTTCTCCTCCATTCTTCTCTCAGGATTTTGGGCATACACGCACCCAGCATGAGTTTTAAGCCCCAGACTGGGTCTGGGACTCAAACTGCGGTCAACTACGTAGAAGTCCAGCGACGTAAGCATTACGCCATATGCTGGTCCCAATTAACTCAGGATTTCTGACATAAGATAGCATTTCAAACACAAAGCAAATTAATTTTTTTTTTTTTTTTTTAGAGTTTTTTGCTATAGGGCATGTGTGCTCGCCAGAAAGACAGAGAGAGACAGAGAGCCAGAAAGTGAGAAATCACCCCCAGGGGGGATGGCCACACCGCAATCCCTTCTTCATTCTCCTCTCGGGATCTTGGGCATGCACGCACATGTGCCCGGCATGAGTTTAAGCCACTGGGTCCGGGACTCAAACCGCAGTCGACTATATGGGAGTCCAGCGATTTAGCCATTACGCCCTCTGCTGGTCCTGAATCAGTATATTTAGTTACAGCCAACAATGGAAAAGGAACAAAGGCATTACACTGTTTGGCCACTAGCTAAAAGAAAATGCATGCTTTATTTTTTCCCAGGTAACAAACAGAACTGAATACCAAATGCACAATGTGAGAATGACACAGGGGGACACAAAAACAGGAACTTTTATATTATATGTACATCACCTTTTCAAGGTTATTTCCATCCAGAATGACTTTTGTCTGCCAGGGCCAATAGAATGAAGTCACAAAATCACCTTTAGTCAAATTTGTGTGCTTACTTTCTTCTATAATTCCAACACCTCCACCATCAACCACTTGAGACAGTTGCCAAGGTGTTATATAACCACTACCAGTGTCTTCATTCATTCTACAACGCTAAAGAAAAAAAAAAGAAAGAAGAAAAATTAATTACAATAATTTTATCAAATATTTAACCAGTTTACTAATTTACAAAATGACTGAAAGTACATAATAACTGACGTTAAGTGAAGTGTTGGTCAAATACATTAAGTGTTATCTTTCTTTCACTTGCTTGTTTACTTATTTATCTCCCCATTTCCCTGTGCAACCCCTTCAGTGCCAGCAGCCCACAGGCAGAGACTGGGCAATGGTTTGGGGCCAGTGTGCTCTAGCATGGGACAAGATGAGAGGCCCAGAGGGATGGACCTGCCATAAATCCAAACCCTCACATCTTCCTTTATTTTTTATTCTAAAAAAGAAAATGCACCTCTTCTCTAACAAGTAAAGAACTTCAATTAAAGAGACATTTAGGGCCAGTCCATAGCCTGGTGGTTAAGATAGCTAGATCCCACATGGGCAATTGTGCAGTGTAAGTCCTGCACTCAGCAGCTTGAGAAGCACAACTGGTGCATGTGCACACTTGCCCAAAATCTCAAAAGGAGGGAGAAATGGAGAAAAAGAGACTGCAGGGTGACCATGCCCCCATAGGGAGTTTTTTTTTTTTTTGAGAGGTTTTCGTTATAGGGCACATGCGCTCGCCAGACAGACAGAGAGAGACATAGAGACAGAAAGTGAGAAATCACCACCCAGGGGGGATGGTCATGCCGCAATCCCTTCTCCATTCTCCTCTCGGGATCTTGGGCACGCACGCACATGCGCCCGGCGTGAGTTTTAAGCCACCAGGTCCGGGACGCGAACCACGGTCAACTATGTGGGAGTCCAGCGACACAGCCATCACGCCAACTGCTGGTTCCCCCATAGGGTGATTTCTCAGTTTCTTTCTCTTTCTCTGTCGTGAGCACAAGTACCCTTGGCAAAATTAAAATAAAAATTTAAAAGAAAAAAAATTTAAGGGGCCAGGCAGTGATGCAGTGGTGGCCCAAGTGGACCCACATGGGAAAAGTCCTGGGTTCACGTCCCAGGACCTCTCTGAGTACACAAAGTGCATATGCCCACAAGCTGGGCCAGCTGAGACTGGTGGTGGATTGCAAGATGAGAGCCCTATTAGAGTAACTGTTTCTCTCTCTCTCATGGAATAAATAAATAAACTTAAATAAATAAATAAATAAACAAATTTAAGTTTGTTCTAAAAGTAGATTGTGGTAATCATAACAGTATGTACCACTGAAACAGTATGTACAAGCATTATTAAAGATATACAGACCAAAGGAACAGAATAAAGAGCCCCACAATAACACCATACATTTACAATATATATTTTAAAAAATTTTTGTCAGACGCAGGACCAGCAGTTGCATAATGGCTATGCTGCTGAACTCCCACGTAGTCAATCACAATTTGAATCCCGGACCCAGTGGCTTAAACTCATTCTGGGCGTGTGTGCATGTGTGCCCAAGATCCCAAGAGGAGAATGGAGAAGGGACTGTTGCGTGGTCATCCCCCCTGGGGGGTGATTTCTCACTTTCTGTCTCTCTGTCTTTCATAAAAAACCTCGAAAAAAAAAAAAAAAAAAAAAAAAAGGAAATCACCCCCCCAGGGAGGGTGGCCAATCCCTTCTCTGACATTCTCCTCTTGGGACATTGGGCACTCATGCACACATGACCTGCATGAGTTTTAAGTCACCAGGTCTAGGACTTGAACCATGGTTGGCCATATGGAAGTCCAGTACTGTAACCATTACACCATCTGCTGGTCCTTGTACTGCTATTATAAATACATTCCTTCTATAACATTTCTTTCCTTTTTTTTGGCGAACATTTAATTATTGTAACTTTTGTTTTTCAAAGAGAGATATCCGCTATAGGGACATGTGCTTGCCAGAGAGAGACAGACAGACAGAAAGTAAGAAATCACCACCCAGAGGGAATGGTCACACTGCAATCCCTTCTCCTCCATTCTCCTCTTGGGATTTTGGGCATGCATGCACACGCACTCATCCTGAGTTTGAAGCCACCCAGTCCAGGACTCAAACTGCAGTCAGTCATGTGGGAGTCCAGCGGTATATGCCATATGTTCGTCCCAATTACTGTAAATCTTCCCAGCATACAAAATGGACCTTCCAAGCATGCACACACTGCAGATTAGTCTAGTCAAAGATATGACCATACAAATTATCATCAGGAGATAATTTTCCATTTTTGTGTCCATTATGTTTTGGTTTTTTCCCCTCACTGATTCCCTCCCTCCGACCCCCCATTGTCCAATCTCCTCCACAATTTCTAAAATTGACAGTTGCTCTCCCTGCTTTTATACCTTCCAATCTTTCAGTTTCTGCTATAAAGTGCAGGCATTTGGTATATATTAAGTGGGGACATCCAATGCTACACTTTCATAGTCTGGCTTGCTTTACTTGTCATTAAATCTTCTATATTTGTCCACTTTCTATCAAATGCCATGGTCTCACTATTTTTTTATGCCATGGTCTCATTGTTTTTTTCATTCATCTGTTCTTGGATTCTTGGGTTAATTTGATGTCTTGGCCATTGTGAATAATGCCACAATAAACATGGTTATGCAAATCTTTTCCCAACTGAGTGTTTTCCTAAACGTTGGGTAGATGCCCTGGAGTGGAAGTGCTGGATCATATGATAGTTCTACTGGTAGGTTTCTGAGGAACCTCCAAACTGTTCTCCACAGTGGTTGTACTAATTTACATTCCTCCCAACAATATAAGAGTGTTCCCTTTTCACTGCAACTTCTCTAGCATTTATCATTGTCGCGACCTGGGGGACAGCCAAACAGGTTTCCTGAGTGAAGGAGTGAGAGCCGGGACAAGCAGCGTAGTGTTACAGCACGGAGACGACAGTGTCATCCGTTTATTGTGGGCAGCACGGTACAGCACAGAGACGACGCATTGTCACAGCTCTTAAGGGTTGCGTCGTCTACTGTGAGCAGCACAGAGACGACGCGGTGTCACAGCTCTTCAGGGTCGTCCGGAGACGATGTAGTGTTACAACTCTTCAGGGTCTCCCAGGTCGTCTGGAGACGATACAGTGTCAGCTCTTCAGGATCTTCAGGGTCGTCTGGAGACTGCGCGGTGTTTCAGCTCTTCAGGCTCTTCAGTTGTCGTCTTCCTGGTCGTTGTCGTTGTCTTCCTGATCATCTGTGTCGTCTGGCTACTGTGGGCCAGGCATCGTGGTTATATACATGCTGGTGGGCTGTGATTGGTTGTAAACGGTGGGCCGTGATTGGTTGTAAACGGTGGGCCGTGATTGGTTGTAAACGGTGGGCCGTGATTGGTTGATGCTGGTGGGCTGTGATTGGTTGTAAACGGTGGGCCGTGATTGGTTGTAAACGGTGGGCCGTGATTGGTTGTAAACAGTGGGCTGTGATTGGTTGCTTTTGGACCAATCATGAGGTGCCAGATATGCAAATTTGAGGGATTCTAGTGGCCAATCAGAGCAAGGTTTCGAAAGTCAGGTTTTTGGAAGGGAACCAATCATGGTAATTGTTTGCTATCTGAGAAACCTCGGCAGACTCGCTGGTGTGTAGCTTCCCACAATCATTCTTTATTTTTTTTAATACCAGTGAGTAAAAATAAAGGCAGTTTGTAATTTGTAAGAGATATCTGCTTGGGCTATCAGGTGGTGTGATGGTTAAAGTGCTGAACTCCTACATGGCTAACTGTGGTTTGAATCCTGGACCTGGTAGCTTGACAATAAGTGTGTGTATGAGAGCATGCCTAAAATCCAGGATAATGGAGAAGGGACTGTGGCATGGCCATCTCCCTTGGGGGGTGATTTCTTACTTTCCCTCACACTGTCTCTGTCTCTCCAGTAAGCACACACAACCTATGACAAAAACCTTAAAAAGGGAGAAAGATAATTGCTCAAGTGCTTATCGATAATAGGATTGTACAATAAAATTCAGATACAACAACATGAAAAATGTAATTTTTCACCAAGTGACAATACCCCAATTCTTACCATGTAGGGATCCACAGAAAGATAAAGAGTTCTAACTCGTACTTGTCCTTCATTGATAGTATCTGGTACAGTGACTTCTTCCATTCGAAAGTTCTCTGCCACTGGATTACCATTTTTTCCTAAAATATTAGGCAAAAACATTTTAAAAAGTCATTTTTTGGCATGGTGGTTACGACTGGATCCCACATAGCCAACTGTGTGGTTCACATCTCAGACCTGATGTGTGAGCCCAGGATCCCCAAGGGGGTAAAAGTTGTAGGAGAAGGGATTGTAGCATGACCATCCATCACAGGGTAGTGTTTTCTCATTTTCTCTCTCTCTGGTGAGTGTATATGCCCTCATCCAAATTAAAAAGAAAAAAGGTAACTTTCTTATACAACTATTGATATTATTCTTTTATTAAGAAAAGAATTATTTGGGAACCAGCAGTTAGTGTAACGGCTATCTCGCTGGACTCCCACGTAGTCGACCACGGTTCGCATCCTGGACCCGGTGGCTTAAAACTCACGCAGGGCATGTGTGCGTGCGTGCCCAAGATCCCGAGAGGAGAATGGAGGGGAAGGGATTGTGGCATGTGATTTCTCGCTATCTCTCTGTTTTTCTCTGTCTGTCTGGCGAGCACACGCAAAAACCTATAGCAAAAACCTCTCAAAAAAAAAAAGAATTATTTGATTTTATTTTTCATTACGATGATTATTTTTAATAATTATTTATTTAATTTTATTCATTATTATTATTATTCAACTTGAGCAGAGAGAAAAAGTGAGAAAGCAAGCTGCCAGGTTTGGGACTTGAACTGCAGTCAGCCCATGTGGGAGTTCAACACCTTAATCACCATATAACCTGACAGTCTTTTTTTTTTTTTTAAATGTTGCTACAGGGCGTGTAGAGATAGAGAAAAAAGCTGCCAAGTCTAGGACTTGAACTACAGTTAGCCATGTGGGAGTCCATTGCCCTAACCACCATGCAACCTGTTGGCCCCACACTATTATCCTCGCTTTCTTTTTTTTTTTTGCTATAGAGGGTATGCATTTGCTGAAGAAACAAAGAGACACAGAGACAGAAAGTGAGAAATCAACCCCCAGAGGGGATGGCCATGATGCAATCTTACTCCATTCTCCTCTTGGGATTTTGGGCACACACACACACACACACACACACACATGCCTGATGTGAGTTTTAAGTGCTGGGCCCAGGACTCGAACTGCAGTCAACTATGTGGAACTCTGTGACATAACCATTATGCCATCTGCTGGTCCCCCACTCCCCAATGTGTTTTTCAAGCTGCTGGATCCAGAGCTGTATGGTCAGCCATGTGGGATCCAGTCACCTTAACTACCATACCAACTGGCTGGCCCAAATCATCCAATTTCTAAGGTGGAGACAGATATAAAGATCTTAATCTATCTGCTCACTTTATTAAAACTGAGGTCAGAAGAGGTCAATTGGGAACAGAGAGCAATACAACAGTAAAGCACAATGCTCTGCAAAGCTGACCCACATGGGAAGGTCCTGGGTTTGCATCTAGAGATCTTCCCGAACGGGCAGGCACACAAGTCTGATGATGACCTGGGGATGGCTGGGGCAGAGGGTGGATTGCAGCATAAAGACCCCGTTAGGGATTTTGTCTTTCTCCCTCTCTTTCTGTCTCTCTTGCTCATTTAAGTTTTTAATGAACTTTTTAAAAAGGAAAGAAAAGTTAAATGACTTCCTCGGGTATACAGTAGGTAGGCAGCAAACCTAAGGCAAAAGTGGGTCCAAACCTCTCAGTTACTTCCACACCTAAGTTTCTATGACCCAGGTTACATGTTGGCACTGACATAAGCCACTACAAGTCACATAAAACAGAAAGGCAAATTTTTTTCTTTTTTTTTTGGGGGGGAGAGGTTTTTTCGCTATAGGGCATGTGCGCTCGCCAGACAGACAGAGAGAGACATAGAGACAGAAAGCGAGAAATCACACCCCAAGGGGTATGGTCACGCTGCAATCTCTTCTCCTCCATTCTCCTCTCGGGATCTTGGGCACGTATGCACACACGCCCGGCGTGAGTTTTAAGCCACCGGGTCCAGGACGCGAACCGCAGTTGACTACGTGGGAGTCCAGCGACATAGCCATTACGCTAACTGCTGGTTCCCAGAAAGGCAAATATTTTTTAAAAGATTTTTTACCAGAGGGCAATGTGCTTGCCAGAGAGAGAAAGAGAGAAAGTGAGAAAGCATCACACACACAAACACACACCCCCAACACATGGGAAATGGTCATGCTGTGATCACTTCTCCTCCATTCTCTTTCCTTTTGGGATTTTGGGCATGATACACAAATGCTCAGTGTGTTTCTCAAGTCACCGGGTCTGAGACTTGAACCTCACAGTCAACCATGTGGAATGCAGTCATCTTAGCCACCATGCTACCATAGGCTGGCCCATGAAAAGCAAATTTACTAGAAGGAAAAACAAAAGCCACACATATTTTTTAAAATTTTTTAAAGAATTATTTAATTTATTTATTATTATTTTTCAACTTGACCAGAGAAGGCGGGGGGAGGAAAGTGAGAAAGCAAGCTGCCAGGTCCAGGACTCAAGCTGCTATTGGCCATGTGGGAGTCCTGCGACTTAACCACCATGCCAATATGGTGGTTAACCCCAAGCCACACATATTTATAATAAAATCTTTCTAACACTATACTGATTCCAAAATACCTTATCTCATCAACAAATGACCTTGATAAGTTATCACTTGAAAAACTGCATTATACTGTTTAAAGAGTTTCTTATAATATCTTCACTAGTGTTACTCTCTTACTACCTTGACATATTAGTTTTTATTCCTCGATTTGCATTAACAATTATCAAAGAGCACAGACGTTCATTCATCATAAATACATACCAGGTCGGGAATTGAGTACTATTCTTTGTACAATCATCACCCTGGTTGTGCAGTGCTCTCACAAGATTTCTGCGTAAAATGGCTCCTATAAATAGAAAAAGAATTTAAATCACAAGATGTATTCAACAATTTTAAAATGGCTAGACCTGTAGTATAGTGGTTAAGTGATACAGGGAAGAACCTAGATCCTCAATGGTTGATCAGGGTTCGAGTCCCAGCCCTGGAGGCTTGAAAGTCAAACAGTGTGCACATATGCGTGTGCCCAGTTTCCTGACAAGATGCAGAATTAGAGAAAAAAAGTATTGCAGTGTGACCAGGTCCTGTTGGAGGGTGCTTTCTCTCTTTCTCACCTCTTTCATGCAGATACATGCACCTCCATTCTTTCCTCGGGATCTTGGGCATACACACGCACCCAGCGTGAGTTTAAGCCACCAGGTCTGGGACTTGAACTGCAGTCAAATACCGTGGTCAACTACATGGGAGTCCAGCAACATAGCCATTATGCCAATTGCTGGTCCCTTAAAGGTTCTTTTATTCATTTATCAAATGGAAATTCCTTATTGGTTCTGTTGACTATACAGGTAATGTATCAAAGGTTTTTGTTGTTTTTGTTCTTTTAAGGTTTTTACTATAGAGTGTGTGCATTTGCTGGAGAGAGAGGGAAAGTGAGAAATCACCCCCTGGACAGATGGCCACACCAAAATCCCTTCTCTCCTCTTGGGATTTTGGGCACAAATACACATGGCTGACATGATTTTCAAACTGCCAGGTCTGGGACTTGAACTGCAATCAGCCACATAGGAGTCTGGTACGTTAGCCACCATGCCACCTCCTGATCCCTCAAAGACATTTTTAAATTCTCACTTTATAAGAAATTCTGTAACAGAATGACCATGCAAGTAAGACTACTACAATTGTTCTCTTTTAGGTTTTGCCCTAGGATGCATGCCCTCACCAGAGAAGGGACAAAGAAAGAAAGTGAGAAATGACCCTTCCCCAGGAGGGTGACCGTGCCACAATCCCTTCTCCACTCTCTTTGCTGGATTCTAGGCACTCATGCACACATGCCCAGCATGTTTTTCAAGCCACTGGATCCAAGTCTTGAACCATGGAGTCAGCCACGTGAGATCCAGCACTTTACCATGGTACCTGCTGGCTTGGGTATCCAATTTTTTAAAGTTTATTGATTTATTTCTCCCATGACTAAGACATATAGAACGAGACAGTAACAGACACAAAGAAATAGCACCCTCAGCAAGGTCCTGATGCTTTGATCCACTCTCAGCTTTAGCAAGCCCCAGATCATGGGCTATAAAGTGCCTGGTGTGTTTAAGGAGGTCTCTTGGCACAAACCCAGCACCTTCCCATGTGGTTCAGCTTTACAGAGCTTAGTGTTTTACCACCGCGCCACCTCCTGGCTCCCCGGGGGTACACGATTTGATCTAATGAAAGGAAGCAAAATGAAGGTTTAAGTATGCCATTATCTGACTTGCTGAAAATTGGTTTGCTTACTTTATATATCAGTAACCCTCAGTGTTACTTTATGCTAAACTCTGTTGGGAGTGCTTTCATATACACTTGGCAAATCACATTTGCCTTGCATGGTGTTAAATAGGTTCCTAATTTGTGCTAAGTAATATTCCAAAATAATATGAGATAAACGACCTGCAGAAAACTTTGTTCTGCTGCAGGTCACAAGGCGTTTGTTATCTGAGCGTCCAGCAGCCTAGTACATAAGGCAAAGGTCACTGAACCAGAAAGAGAACACTTATGTCCTAATTCTGACCAAGTGGGGTCCTGGGGAAGTGCTAGTACATGCCAGGAACACGGCTAAAGACTTCCTACTCATTATCCCTCCCCGCCCCCATGAGGTTAGTAATACTTTTCAGATAAAGAAAGGAAGGTATGGAGAGGTTGCATAATTTGCCCAAGGTCGTGCGACTCTAACAATAGAAGCTATACTCAACTACAGCACACACCATCTCCCTAACATGAACTTCCCAGCACCATTTACAAAGCGCTTCTCCGTCCGTCCTGAGCTTCTTCCACTACCCTGCCACAAACGGCCCAGGTGCCTTAGCCTTGTCCTGGCCGTCCTCTGGCTATCCAGTTCCCTCCTCTCCCAGGTCTTACTGTGGGGATTCTTGCAGGGCTCTTCGCTTCCTCAGGGTCCTCACGTTCTGTTCTGCGCGGCTCCCACTACCACCCACTTCCATAGAAATCGCTGATCATCTTCGGAATCAACAGCTAGCGTAATGGCTATATTGCTGAACTCCCATGTAGTCGGCAGTTCGAGTCCCGGACACAGTGGCTTAAACTCACGCCGAGTGCGTGGCCATCCCCCCTGGGGGGTGATTTCTCGCTTTCTGTCTCTCTGGCGAGCGCACGCGCCCTGTAGCAAAAACCTCTCTTAAAAAAAAAGAAAAGAAAAAGAAAAAGACATCACTGACCCGAAGTTCCAAACTGGCTCCCCAGACCGCCAGCGCTGAGAGGACAAGGGTGTGTGTCTGCTTTATTAAAGGGCCATGCCCACCCCCTACGTCGGATCCGAAGTGGGTGTCCAAACCTACGAGTCACCCGGAAGTCCCGGAGGCACCTTTAACACAATTACGTCCAAATCTAAGGGTGCTCAACGCCACCCATTTTAAAAACAATAACAAAACCCTGCTTTTGCCGCCTGGAAGTCACCCTTGCTCGGAGTTTCCTCCCTCATCGAGAAAGTGCAACTGAGCCCCAACCCCAGCCCCAGCGGCTCCCAGCGCGTCTCTCACCGTCGTGGGGAATAAAGTACAAATCTCGCGCGATTTGCCACGAACACAGGCTGGCCGCGCTACCCCAGCTCCGGTCCGGCCAGTTCCCTCTAACTGGACCAGGCCCCTCCGACCCATTACGCAGGCGCACTCCCAGCCCGAGCTCTGCGCCCCGCCCCTCCAGAGGCGCGTTCCCGACGCTTTTGTGAGAGGCGGGGGCGGGGCGGGGTTCTTCGGATACCTCGTTTGGGCAAGTGCATTAATAAGTTAACCGGAGGGGCTAGCTATGGCAAAAACTTTAAAAAAAAAAAAAAGTTAACCAGGATCGGTGCAGGGAGGTCGCCCCTTTGACCTTGACCCAAAGAGCAAATTGTTCAACGTTCACCACTGAGCTCACATCTAGCAGTCTTCAACAGAATTTTATTCTTTTCTTTTCTCTTCTTTTCTCTTCTTTTCTTTTCTCTTCTCTTTTCTTTTCTTTTTTTTTTTTCTTTTCTTTTTGAAAGATTTTCACTATAGGCCGTTTGTGCTGGCCAGAGACAGAGAGAAAACCAGAAAAACAGAAAGCGAGAAATCACTCCCAAGGACAATGGCTATGCAGCAACCCCTTCTCTTCCATTCTCTCCAGATTTCAGGCACGCAGGCACACCCGCCCAGCATGACTTTTAAGCTGCTAGGTCCGGGGCTTCAACTGCAGTCTTCAACTGGATGGGAGTCCAGCCACGAAACCATCATGTCGTCTGCTGGTGCCCGGAATTTTATTCTTTTTATGGACTTCTCCCTAAGCCTTGGATCAGGAAATTACAGTGAAAGAGGGACCAGAAAGTCTACCACTTGTCTTTACAGGTGGGGAAACTGAGGCTTGGAGAGGATGATGTGATTGGACCACCCAACCTTTCCGTTAGGGGCAGTCGCCAGATTTTCTCTCCAGGTTGCTGGTCCGGGGCCTTTTAGTACTCTTTTACACAGGGTTTAGTTTTTATTTCACAAAGAATCCCAAGTTTTTTTTTTTTTTTTTTTTTGAAGGTTTTTCACTTTTTTTTGGAGAGATTTTCACTGTAGGGCGCACGCGCTCGCCAGACAGAGAAAGACATAGAGACAGAAAGCGAGAAATCACCCCCCAGGGGGGATGGTCACGCCGCAATCCCTTCTCCTCCATTCTCCTCTCGGGATCCTGGGCACGCACGCACACGCGCCCGGCGTGAGTTTTAAGCCACTGGGTCCGGGACACGAACCGCTGTTGACTACGTGGGAGTCCAGCGACATAGCCATTACGCTAACTGCTGGTTCCCAAGAATCCCAAGTTTTTGAAGATGTTTTCCTGAGTGTGGACTGATTTCTCAATTTCATTATTTATTAATTGCCTCTTTTTATGCTAGACTGAATTGAGCAATCCTTATTCCTAGGACAGCTTTGGATCTCCTGGGACTTCAAATCCTAAGGGAGACCATTCTGAATTAGGCAGGTATAAACATTGCTATTTATATTGTATTGTATCTGAGCCCAACCTGTATCACAGTGTAGAGTAACTGAAAGATGCCTGGGATGGTGAGTAAGGGGGTATCAATGATTGGACAGGTTGGGGCTCCTGGCAGCTTTACCTCTGAACATCTTTAGTTGTTTGGGAAAGTGAAAGGAAGGGACTGGGAGAATTAAACTACTTTGCAAAGGAGCTTTGCAAACACCTTCAATTAACAATTAATTTTTGTCATACAAAACCAAGGCAGAACGTCAATAACCTTTGTTGTAATAACTTCAAACAAGTAGGAAGGAAATGCTTAGCCCAGCAATGGCGACACTGCCATTCTGCAGGCTAACATCCCGTGGGTGCGTAACACTGGGCAAGGTGGCTAGTAGTCCCAGCTACTAGGAAGACTGAGGTTAGAGGACAGTACAGAGAAAGACCATCTTAAAAACAAAATTAAAAAGAAAATGCTTGGGGCCAGCAGGTGGCGCTGTGATTAAGGCAGCTGGCGCTGTGATTAAGGCAGCTGGATCCTACATGGCTCACTGTGTGTGGGAGCCAGGGAATGAAAATCATTCCTATACATGTGTGCATTTGTCCAAGAGAAAGGATTGTGACATGGTCATCCTCCCTGGGGGATGACTTCTCACTTTCCCTCTCTCTCTTTGTCTCTGGCTAGCACACATACCCTATAGCAAAACTTGTGAAAAAAACAATTTAAAAAACGAAGAGCTCAGAGCAGGCTCCCTACACAGAGGTTACATTCAGCTATAGGGAGCTGGAGACTGCAAAGCCAACTACAGTTTGAATTCTACCCTACAGGCTCGAAAAACACACCAGTCACACGTGTTCATATGTCTGAAATCCAGATAGCATGGAGGAATGAAGGAAGGGGATTGAGGCATGACCATGCCCCACTGGCATGCTTTCTCTTGCTCCTTCTTCCCTCTCTGGCAAGTGCACACACCGTTTGGCAATTAAAAGAGAGAGAGAGAAAGGGAAAAAAAAGAAAGAAAGGAAGAAAAAGAAGAAAGAAAATGTCTAAACAGACTAAAGTAATAGCATAAAATAAAGGCAGTCTAGAGATTGATTTTTAATGGTCTTATCATGCCCCTTTTACAAATGAGGAAACTAAGGTTAAGTCAATTAACTACTATCAGGTAAAGGCCCAAGTTCTCCTAGATAAGTCCAGAAACTAATCCTTTGTGATATTTGACATAAATCCCTTCTCTTCCTCCTCTGCAGACTTTTGTACTATCTCAAGCAATTCCTGAGGTAATAATTTTCCAGACTTAACTAGAAGGAAGTGTCAATTTTTCTCATCCCAACCTTATCCAAAGATACATGGCACTTATTTTTCACTCAAGCATACTAAATATAAATACGTGAGCATTCCTAATTTAAAAATTCTAAGTATGAAGTGCTCCAAAACCTGAAACATGTTAGGCACCGACACATGACATCACAAGGGAAAAAGTCTATACCTGGGACCAGCAGGTGGCATAGAGGTTACTTCACTAGCCTCCCACATGGCTGACCACTAGGCCTGTGTGCGTGCATACCCAAAATCCCGAGAGGAGAACGGAAAAGGGATTGCTGGATGGCCATTCTCCCAGGGGGTGATTTATTGCTTTCTGTCTCTCTGTCTCTTTCTGTCTCTCTGGTAAGCACACACACCCTATAGCAAAAATATGTCTTTCTCAAAAAAAAGTCCAGGGGCTGGCAGGTGGCCTGGTGGTTGAGGTGCTGAACTCCCACATGGCTGACCATGGTTGGGGTCCCAGACCTGGTGGCTTGCTTTCTCACTTTTCCTTCTCTCTCTCTATCTTTCTCTATGTCCCTATGTGTCAAATTAAAATAAATGAATAAATAAGTACAAGTAAATGAGTAATCATTTTTTAAAAGTCCATACCTGATCTCATGTGATGAATTACAGTCAAAACACTGCAATACAAAAATATTGCATAAAATTACATTCAGGCTATGTGTATAAGACATGTATGAAATATAAATGAATTTCATGCTTAGACTTGGGCCCTATCCCCGAAATATCTCATTATGTATATGCAAATATTGCAAAATCCAAAAAAATCTGAAATTCAAAATCTGAATCACTTCTGGTCCCAAGCATTTCAGAAAAGGATACTCAATTTGTATTTAATCTGGTGTTTATATATTCATTCATTAAGGTTTCTTTTTTAGTTTATTTTATTCATGATAGGGAATTTGTATGCATGCACACAAGAAAGAGGAGAGAAGAAGTACCCTTAACAGGGTCTTTGATGCTGTGAGCACCTTTCTCTAGCTCTCCAGTTCCTCAGGCTCTTGGGCACTTGTGCATGCACCTGGCTTGTTTTCAGGCCGACTCAGTAGTCTGAACCCATGGTTGGCCATGTGGCTCCTAGTCCTGTAGTCCAGTATGCTATGTCATGTAGGCTGGACCAATTACATTGTTTTTAACTTAAAATGGGCTCATATGATTTCCTGTGTAGTCATCGCCTTCAGATTACAAAGTACTTTGGAGAAAGAATTCAAGTCTGTCCAACCTGCATGGTATATAGCACTTCCTGCAACATCTGAGATCATTTGATGTTAAATAAATATCTTTCCATGAAGGTGATAATTGTTCATAATGACACAAATGCAAACCCAAACATATATCCTAGAGAAATACCACAATACAGGAGCTTATCCATCGCCGTGTGCAATGACAGATGCTGCTACTTGGCCGACTGAAGCCATGTGGGTGGCTCAGGTCTGGCCTACCCTAAAAACCAAGTGTGGTGTTATGCACTTGTAATATCGGTGACTCAGAAGGCAGATGCAGGAGGATCCTGACATAGTAAGAGCCTGTCTTAAATAAAATAAAATAAAATAAAATAAAATAAAATAAAATAAAATAAAAACTTGGCCAGCAGATGGCATAGTGGTTACGTTGTTGAATTTCTACATGACCCACCGCAGACCCAGTGGCTTCAAATATCACACTGGGCGTGTGCATTGGTGCCTGAAACCCCAGAATGGAGGAGAAGGGATTGCAGCGTGGTCATCCCCCCCCCAGGTGATTTCTCAATTTCCTTTTCACGGTCTCTGTCTCCGTCTCACTGGCAAGCGCATGTGCACTAAGGCAAAAACCTCTTAAAAAAAAAAAAGTCCTGGGTCTCCTCTCTTGGTCTGTGAGACCCTTCAAGGTCCACATATCATTGACCTTGTATTTCTTAACCTCACAGCATTTTTTATTATATCAGTTCTAAAAGATGCTTAATAAATGTCAGTTGCATAGAGGAGTGAATAGCTCTTCCATATTGATCAATTTGTCTGAAGTTCACAGGAATTATGTCAAAAATATATGCTATATATATTAGGGCAGATGGATCCCACATGGCTGACTAAGAGGTTTAAGTCCTGGATCTGGCAGCTTAAAACATGTGTGTGTGTGTGTGTGTGTGTGTGTATGTGTGTGTACGCATGCCCAAAATCCTTAGAGGAGAAAGGGGGAGAGGCAGTAGCAGGGTGGCCATGCCCCCAGGAATGATTTATTACCTTCTC